CATTATTTCTACCTCTTATAAGTTAGGAAAGCCTTTTTGGTATTTGTATTTCTTATTTCCTTATGCTGTATAGTCTTAAATTTCAATTTCTAAAATGCTTCTATGATTATGTGTAAACCATTGCTCTGTGATGACTAGGTTCACCCTGGAAATAGTGTGACTGGTTTTAGTGTTTAATTCAGTCCAAATTGTGTTTATTGAGAGTCAACTATTGTGCACAAAGACTAAAAATAGAATTATTGGCCAGAGATACAGGTCAACAAAGAAAGTGCTTCTCTTGCCTTGTAGCTGACCCTAATTCAGCCCCCCACACCATCAGAAACAATGCCGCCCTCCCTGCACAGAGCCAGTAGTAGCCCCCAAGCACCACCTGATATGGTCGCACAAAATTATCCCAGTCGAGATATATAGATGATTCAACTAATTATACAAATTACTTATATAATATACAAATTAACTATACAGTATACCAGCTAATTAAAACCTTAGAGGCAGTGAGTCAGAGCATGATATTGCTATGACATATCAGAGGAAAAAAATGCTTGCTTGAGTATGTTGGGAAAGCTTCAAAGAGAAACTGGACTCAATAGAATTTTGAAAGACAATGAAATGGACATGAAGAGATATGGGCATTCCTGGCAAGTGATGAATGTGAGCTAACACTTCAAGTCAGGAAAGCCTAGGACATATTTAGTTGAGTCTTAGCCTGGTCTGCTTAGATAAAAGATTGCGGTATGGGAGGTGAGAAAAGAGGCGATGAAGACGAAGTAGATTAGAATTAATTTGCACAACATTTTAAGGACTATGTCCTTTTATTTTATTGGTGTGTGTTAGGGGGGTGTCCCCAAGTTGTGCCATGCCCAGGAAGTTTGGGGCCACGTTGGTGATTCTTGGGCAACTATGCAGAAGTTCAGTGCCAGGGCCAGTGGATATGGTGCAGCCATCCTGGTGATGCTTGGAGTGGGGGTGGGGCAGTGGGGGGTGGATTCTGGGGCTGCACCCAGCTCTGGTGGGGGACCAGGTAGCAGAGATTGAACTGGGATCAGCAGTGTGCAAGACCTGCACCTTAAGTCCTGTACTAGCTCTTCAGTGTCTATAATTTTGGTAAATATTGGATTCCACTGAAGGATTTTGAGCAAAGTACCTCCATAATCTGGGCTATAATTTGGAAATACATTTCACAAGAAGTCTGGAGGATAGATTAGATCAGGAGAGTTGGAGTCTGAAGGAAAGAAAACTTCAGGGAAGGTTATTTTAATACCTATGAACTGACCGCCTTCCTGTCCCAGCAGCTGATCACCACTGTTTTCATTGATGGAATGAATCTGCTTTAATATAGAGGGAGGAGAAAAGGGAACGCAGGGATAGATCTGGCTTGTAAGTGAAGAGTGTGAAAACAAGGAATATGCAGAGAGATAGCGTAGAGATTAAAACACTCGCCTTGCATACCTCTCTCCCCAGACCAATCCTGAATACTACATGGTCCCCCAGCATAGCCATCTGCAGCTTTGGAGCCCCACCCCCACCCTCAAGCATCACCGGGGTAGTCCAAGTAAACCCTGGCACTCAAGAGTCCAAGCAGCACTGCATCCTCGGGCCCTTGCATTCAACCTCTAAACTGTTAGATGAGAATTGCTGGCAAGAACCTGTGGGCCACCTGAGCACTTCTAGGGAGATCCTCCCCAAAAAGAACAAGTAAAAATGTTAGTTAAGTTGCCATCACAAGAGTAATAGCTGAAGTATTATATCAGACCCCAAGGGATATTATATCAAAAATATTTGAAACGTGCCTACTCAACAGCCTACTCAAGACTGTTGCAGGGTTCGAGACCCCGCTCTGTGACAGTCTGGCTGTGCAGACCTGAGAATACAGTACGTGGGCCAGGGAAGTGGGTCTGAGGACGACCAGGGCACTGCACAGTGCTGGCGATCACTGGGCCTCAGGCCTACAAAGCTTCTGCTTTAGCCTTTGGACAGATCTCTCTGGTCCCAAATATTTGTATGCAAGAGCTCAATTGAAATTTTAATGACTGTTGGAGACAGACTCTGCAGATCTCTCTCAGGACTGCTATTTTTAAAAAATATTTTTAATTAATTTATTTTTATTGACTCACTGTAAGATAGAGCAATTCAAAGCTATTCATGACTGGGTTTCAGTTACACAATGTGCCAACACCAATTTTTCCACCAGTGTAATTTACCAGTACCAAAGTCTCCAGTTCCCCACCCCCCACATCACATACACTCCCATTCCAACCTGCCTCTATGCCACGCACATCTTTTCTCTTCTCTCTCTCTCTCTCTCTCTCTCTCTCTCTCTATCTATCTATCTCTATCTCTATCTCTCTCACTCTCTCTCTCTCCTCACCCCTGCTCTCATTTTTGGGCATATGGTTTGCATTACAGATACTGAAAGGTTATCATGTATATTCCTTTAACCTACTTTCAACACTCAGTTCTTGTCCAGATGTCCAACTATTGTTGTCTCAGGACTGCTCCTAGAGAAAAGAGTGAAGCCAAGTGGATCATTTGGGGCTCCCTGCCTCATCTTTAACTGCACATATTCAAGTATTACTGGATTCTCAACTATTGGTTTATTTAATGTGCCCTTTATGATAAAACTGTGGGCTTTTCAACATTAGAGTTTGAAAAGCCACTGCTCTAGAACCCTCTCTTCCAAACCTAGGATGAGATATCCAAGTAGACTAATGTTTTGCCCTCCTAATTAAGATGTATTTTCCTGAGTGTGTTGACCTAACACTCAAGGCAGCTGGAAAAAAAACAGGAGAGATCAGGAAGTGGCTGAAAATGTTCAATGAATCCTAAAGTAAAATAAATATAATATAAAATGAGCGTTTAAATATTTAAAACAATCCAAAAAAACATACTGAAGTGTAAGAACATTGAAGAGCATATCTTGGGAAAGCCTCTAATGAATACAAGAAAGAAGTGAATCTAGTAGATGAGCTGGATACAAGGAAGTGTTTAGAGAGGCCGGACGCCAAATGTTAAGAACTTGATTGTGTTAAGGAAGCCCTGAATTTAGAGGTTGAAGAGATAATATAGAAGTTAAGGCACATGCAGTGTATTCAGCCAACCCCAGTTAAATCCCTGACACCACATAGTCCCCAGAAGCAACCAGGTATGGCCCTAGATATCCTCTAAGCACAACTAGGATGATCCTCCCAAACAGGGCCATAGCAGCACCCTGCTCTTGGGAACTAGTGTTGAACCTTCAGCTGAGTCCCCAAGAGAGTCCCCACCCCTGAACACAGTTTGGGGAATTCTATGCCCTACTGACTCCAAAGAAAAGTCATAAATTTAGACCAACCCTCCTGCTCACTCTAGTCGGTCAAGTACAACCTCAGTTTCTCTCTATGTGGGACTATGAGAACCTACCGCAAAGGGTAGGTTCTCTTCATCCCCCGAATTTGGGTTTTTATGGGATAAAGTAGTCAAAGTTTATCTTAGCACAAGGGTGCTAATAAGTAAATGCCATCTTTAATACCGAAAAGGAGTGAAACCAAGAGAGGAATATGGAGAAATCATGGTTGAGAGTCAACGTCTAGGGCTGGAGAGATAGCACAGCGGGTAGGGCATTTGCCTTGCACGCGGCCGACTCGGGTTCGATTCCCAGCATCCCCTATGGTCCCCTGAGCACCGCCAGGAGTAACTCCTGAGTGCAGAACCAGGAGTAACCCCTGTGCATCACCAGGTGTGACCCAAAAAGCAAAAAAAAAAAAAAAAAAAAAAGAAAGAAAGAAAAAGAGAGTCAACATCTAATCCCAAGCTTAAATTTATTCTGTTGAAGCAGAAGTCAAAACCAAAGGATGATTTGAGCATGTTCCTAAGAACAATCACAGGATAATTCCGGAGAATAGCAGAGGCAGACATTTTACAGTGAGCTTATATTTGTGGATGAGAAGTATGGGACTGGTAATGAGAAGTGTGGTAAAAATTGTCCATGTCTTTTAAGATGCTTTCTGACAGAGTGAAAGTCAGATACTGTGGCTTGGAGGAAGACAAATTTTATGAAGATTTTCTTTTTTGAATTAAATTCAGTTAAGTAATTTTGTTACTGTCTGAGACTGTAACAAATGGAACAGGTTTATGGGGAAATCAGGATTGCAAGTAGCAGAAATTCTTCCTTTGGTGCAGAATAAAAAGACAAGTGAAGATGTAACTATGTAATTTGGATTGATAAATGTAGAAGTTGAACTAGTTCAACATTGGTTTCCATTGTCATTGATACGTACTATGATCATCTCTTAAAATTAAGAGTTTGAATAGTCAAGGTTTAAAAAAATAGAAAATTTTAAATTAGTGTAGAGAGAATCAGCCTCAGATAGGTGGAAAGGTCAGTGCTGTGGTGGGCTAGTGAGAGTTATGAGGTAAGAATGGATTAGCGCCAAGAGCACATATTATTAATCCTGATGAACACGGTAAGTGGAAAAAATGGAGAATAGCCAATAAATCATTATTTGGAATCAATAGTTAATAATTTTAATCATTTTATTCTTTACTAAGTAGAATTTTGAAAACACTAGAATTTTTAATTATTAGAGAGTAATCGCCTTATGAAATCAAAGTATAATGAGTGTTAGAAATACGTTCATTTAGTACTTTCTTCTTAAACTTTTTTATTACTTTATCATTTTCTCTCATCACCTTTCAAAAAAATGAGAAAGCTTTGTATTGTATAACATTTTATAAGAATTTGCTAAAGCTGTTTGAATATGATTTTATTTTAAAATATGATTTATCTGAATCTTGATTTATGGTGTTTTTGTTTTCCTTTATTTTCTAACACTAACTTTTAGCACTGCCATATTACAATGGACATCTGGAGGAAGAAGCAAGCTTTTTATTAACAAGCTTTATTTGCTTTTCTTATTATCTACTTCTGTTTTTTGAGTATTTTAACTTTATGAAAAGTTAAGCTATGCCTTTTGATTTCTTTCCCAAGTCTCATTTATGTTCTTGTTTCTGCATGCTTGCAGTCATTTTCTTACTCTACCTCGCTCCAGATACAGTCAGCCCATTGAGCGCCACCACAGAGATGGCAGGTATATTTTTCTTACAATTGAGTCTGTGCCTAAAGTTGCATGTGTCTGTTTATTGATATGATATAATTTTCTTCTGTTTTTATTTTTATCTCTCTGTGGTCTCACTGAAGTACAGAATTTTAATCCATATTAAATAGTAGATATCAATCAAATATGAATCTTTATAAGAATGTCAGATTATAGCTTCTCTTCAATTAGAGTCATCTCTTTGAGAATTCTAAAAATTTAGTTTACCAGAATGACAACTCTAGATTGCTTAGGAGGACTTTTACAAAGTAATCAAAATTTATTTAAAGGCAAAAAAAATTTCATGCAACTAACTTGACCTTCCTCAGCAGAGCTCATCATTAGGTAAATGATTCTAGTTGAGCTGCATGTATCTTAACACACTTCCCCACACCCCACTGTGGGAGAGGAGCAAGTCACTGCAGTGCTTAGGTTGCTGTTACCAGCCCAAGGTCATTGTTATTCACTCCCTGGTCTCAGTGGATGATCCTGCTATGCGGAACATACTAGATCTGAGGAAATAGTGTTGCTCATTTCTGTTCCACCATCATTCTCCTTAACCTGAAGGGAAATTCTACTTCCAGGCATTTCACAGAAAGAACCATCAACTATAAACAGAAGGGAAAGATGATATCTAAATTTTATCATTGCTCAAGTCTGTGTGTAAATTTAGGAATTTGAAACAATTCATTCTCAACATAATGAGAACCTTTAGCAGAGGAGAGAATAGCAGTGGTGGTGAGTTCAACTAGTTTAGATAAGGAATTACTTGCTATACTCAGTTTGATTGTTCTTTTGGGTTATGTGTGACTACTTTTATCCTATTAAGTGATTCAAAGTTGACAATGAAAGCATTTAGAAAAAAAATAATTGAAAGTAATGAATAGCTTCCCAAGGACTGAGTTCATGTTAGGTAAATAATATAAATTCTAATATTCTTAATAATTTTAGTTTTAGTACATCTCTTAGTAAATGTAATTAAAATTTAGTATTTCCTAGTCTAATTATATGGTAGTTATTATTGCTAAATTTAATTTTCTTTTGAATTTTCAGTCTATTTTATGTTTATTTGCTTTAATGTGACATTTTTGTTCTTTATTTTTGCAATTGCTGTATATTGTATTCAGACTATTTTTTTGGCTGCAATAATCTTACATTTGTCTTACAAAATGTGGGGGAATTATTTACATAATTGTTCTTGTAATTGGCCAAGTTCTTTTCTTAATGTGGATAACGATGAATTAGATGTTGTTGTTCATGGACTTATTCTGCTTCTTCTGGTATTTCTTCACTTCAGTGTAAATTAAGATCATGCGCCACATTAGTTTTTTTAAACTCTTTATTTATGTTAATCTCATTCATCAGTAATTTGTTTGCTTAATATTACTTATTCAGCTCATCAATGTACATAGATCCAGGTCTTGATCAGCTCTAGCTTGCTTGTCAAATTAATTATTTTTACCCAAGTTCTAAACCTCAGAATAATTGAACTTTTTTGGGAAGGAAACTTTACTTACCACTATGCTACCAAGATAAAATTGACCTGTTTTGAAGTGTACATTTGTGAATTGTCTTTTGTTGCCTTTATTTGGTTTGTGGTCAGGAAGCATATAAACATGATTATTGTAAAATAATTCAGAGCTAGGGAATCAGTTTTAGAAAACAAGTTACCATATATCTTTATTACTATGAAGTTTGCCATAACATAAATGATTTGGGCTTTTGAGTAAATTGTGTACCTACTTATAGACCTAAGTGGTAAATTCTATAATCTGATTATATACTTTATATACACTGGTGGACTCAATGCCTGCTTATCCATATGAAACTGTTATTGTTTCCCCGGAATTAGTAAATGCTTTGCTCAATTTTCAGTGAAACATCCCTTCCTTTGCTTTTTTCAAAAGTGACTGATAATTTGTTGTCATGTGACTCAGTTTCTGATTTGCTCTTCACCACCCATCTTCATCCATTTGAATATGTGAAAGAGTAAGGAACTTCTACACATTGAAGACCCCATAAAAAGCAAAGTTGAGCTGAACATTTATTAAGATAGAGATAGGCAGAAATAATATGCAGAAAAGGGAGGGTTTAAGGATGTTTGTTAACAATGGTTAAGAATTGGAGGATATGGGGCTGGAGCAATAGCACAGCGGGTAAGGCATTTGCCTTGCAGGTAGCTAACCTGGGTTCGATTCCCAGCATCCCATATGGTCCCCTAAGTACTGCCAGGGTGATTCCTGAGTGCAGAGCCAGGAGTAACCTCTGTGCATCGCTGGGTGTGACCCAAAAAGCAAAAAAGAGAGAGAGAGAGAGAGAGAATTGGAGGATATAAAAATGATTTGAAAGAGGAGACAAGACATTTAGAGAGAAGATATCAATGGGGGATTGGGAATTTCTATTAAGAGTTAATATCTCTCAGCTAAGTTGGAAAGTAGCACAGTCCTCCCATTGTTCATTAATTTGCCTGAGCGGGCACCAGTAACATCTACATTGTAAGACTTGTTATTACTGTTTTTGACATAGCAAATATGCCATGAGGAGCTTGCCAGGCTCTGCCGTGCAGGCAGGATACTCTTAGTAGCTTACTGGGCTCTCCGAGAGGGATGGAGGAATCGAACCCAGGTTGACCATGTACAAAAGCAGACACCCTACCTGCTGTGCTATGGCTCCAGCCCTCTCAGCTAAGTTAATACCTATTAACTAGTTAATACCTAGTAATTAGTAAACAGTGCCTATTAATTAAGAGTTATAGAGATCAAATGCTTGTATAGAAATAGTTTACTTAAAATACTCTAAGCTATCCTAAGTTGCCTTGCTTCCAAAACTCGGAGTAGTCTTGGTGTGAAAAGTGAGGAAGGGTGAGGCCTTGGCAGAGAGGAGTAGGAGGGATGCCATACACTATGAGGAGAGGCTTTGTGGTTCTTCAGCAGGCATTTGGGGCAGACAGAGGACCCTGCTTGGGAAAAAAGATTCTGCCAAAGCGCCTGGAATCTGATGAGGAAGAGGGGCAGGAGTTGGGGTTTTTTTTTTTTTTTTTTTTTTTTTTTGGTGAAGGGGCGGGTGCTCCATTTTCTTACAGATTCTCTACCTGTGAAGTTGTTCTAAGAGCCCTTCCTCAGTGTGGTCAGATCCCAGTAACTCACTCTTCCCGAACTACCTTTCTTTGACTTTACATTTGTTTGTATTGTTACTTTCTCAAGTATCAACGAGTGCTGTATTTGTGTTTAATCACTCAGATCCCTCCTAATTCTCTAGCGTTTCCTTCTACTAATTATTTCTTACTGATTCTTTGCATCTACCGTTATCAATCTCCTTTTTCTTTAGCTTCTTCATGAAGTATTAATTACCTTGATTCACATTCTCTCTTGACTGGACTTATCTCCTTCATTATTATTTATCATGTTCTCAATTGTCTGCTTATATCTTGTCATGTCTCTTTGACATGTTTCTATTGTTTCTATGACTTCACCCAAAATTTCAAACTATCATGCCCGTTTCATAGTATGTATTCAAAAAAATGAATATATGTTGAAAGAACTAATGTATCAATGAATAGTCAAATATTAATACTGTACAGAGACATCTGAAAGATTTTCTTGATAAACCTTTTTTTAAAACTGAACTCCTTTGTTATCTGTACAAGAATATTTTCACAGAACCTCACAGAATTTAAGTCCACTTCTGAAGTTACTTTTATTTCTCCCCCAAATACGTCTTTTTCTATTTATAGATCATCATTTCATTTTGGGGGGGGGTGAACATTTCATATTTTTTTCTTTTACCTCAATCATTTAATTCGTATTTTCTTTTAATTCGTATTTTCTTTTACCTCAATCATTTAATTCGTATTTTAAAGATAAAAAGAAAGCATCCCATGATCAAAAAATTCAATTAAATGAAATTCATAGACTTTCTAATTATGATATCTTAATTCAGGTTTGGTTTCGTCTTCAAATATATATAATTGTGTAATTTCATCCAGGTTTTTGTGACTTGTAGTTTATTTGTAAAATGAAAGAGATTAGGTGACTTCTGAGATTCCTTCTAACCTTAATATTGTTTATACAGTTTCAGTGTGCTATATGTTGTGTGTCTTGAGCAATATAATTTGTTAATCATACTTACTCTGTTTCCATTCCTATGACTACAAAACAGCCTTTTCCTACTCTAATTCAGTCCATGTATTACTGCGTACTTAAACTTAACTTGATAGTTAAACAAAAATTATTTGTTTTCAAAAGGTCTTGGTCTTATTAAGATGTAAATTCTATCTCAGTCTCTTAAGATGTTAAGAGCTTCATAACTGACTCAAAAAGTTATATTCTACTTTTTTTTATTTGTAGCATCTTTATTTGACAGATTCTCTTTTTTCCTACACCTAGATTTGTTAAATATAATAAAATTATACATCAAGGAGACCGAGACCTGCTCTTCAAAGTATAAGCATTTCTCCTGAAAGTGCCTCTAACATGTCATTTATTTTAAATTCCCTGTCTGCTATTTCCAACATCTGTGTCATCTCTGATTTGTGTTCTGTTGATGTTTTTGATTCTTGATTAGGGGGCTTATTTTCCTTGCTTTAATTTTTTTTTGTTATTCTTGTTTCTGGTCATTCTTTATTAATGATTTCCATCCTGTCATCAGTAGAGCCAGAGGTAACTGGAGTTATGTCTTAAAATGTGTTTCTTTTTCTTTACTTTCTTTTTTTTTTTTTTTACCATGTGTTTGGTGGGGGAAGGAAGCAGTGGTAGGATCAGTGTTCTGACTGCTCCCCCTGATGGTGACATGAACTTGCTTGAAGTGGCAGCTGTGTCAGCAGGCAGCAGAGAGAAGGAGGTTGCCCAGTGTATGGACATCCCACTCACCATGGGAAGCTTTCCAAAGGAAGGCCCATGAATCAATTGTACAAAATGGATCAGTGAAATTGTTGAACAAAACACTCAGGATTTCCAATATGAAAACTTTGCCTCATTAAACTTACTCGCCTCATAGGAAAGCTCTATATTATGGTTCTTTAGAGGTGCATCTTAGAAATGTTTATTACTTTGTTGATTTTTTGTGTGCTTGGGTATGGAAATGTAGGAATACCATGAATTTCTTACATTTGACTAATCTATTAAATCCACTAAAAATGGAAGTTTAAATAAAATACTAATTTAATAAATGGTAGTAATTATATTATCTCTGAGAATTTAAAAATAATACATATTTTAAAGATGTATCAGTATGCTGCATATTACTCATCTCTGGGTAAATAGTCCTGCTTACTTGTGAAAATTATAGATATTTAATTAAAACTTCAAATTTATCTTGAAGACATTTACATGTAAAATGTTTCTTTTTTGCTTGTTTAATAATATATCTCTATCATTTAGTATTGTGTTAGTATCAAATTTTCTTGAGGACATTGAGATATAAATTTTTTTCTTATTGCTATTTTTAGTAACAGCTAAATATTTTCTCCAGATATGAGAATACATCTCTTTTTAATGATAAAATAATTTATAGATCATACTTGTATTTTTCTACTTTAAAGGTATCTCAACAATATGCATTTTGCATAAGATTATGGTTCACTCTTTTTGACTCTAGACATTGCTCTTATTTTTTAATAAGTTACTTTACCTTTAACAAATATGTGGAATTTATATTTAACTGAACAGAAATGTGCATAGAAATACTATAATTTATCAGGATAAATTAATCTATCTCAAAAATAATATTCCTATTTGTATAGTATTTGCTCAGATATTCTAATAAGTTTTTAAAATTTAAGCTTTTTCAATACTTTATGATCAACATGAAAAATTATATTTACTTTATTGTTAAATTATGAAAATATGCACTTATGTTTTGTTGTTGGCCCCAATTTTTAGATTTTATTATGCTTACATTATGTTTGTAATTCTCATAAGATTTCTAAACATGTAAGATGTTTTTTAAAAAAAATACCTCTCCTGCTACTCAGCTAAACATATTATTCTTATGGGTACATTTTACTTTAATTCTTTTTTGTTTTAATTATGAACTATTTTCATTTTTTACAATTTAAATCATGCTAGTTGAGGAGGGAAAAATATAATGAAAATTTTAAACTTTTTTTTTGCTAAGGAGATTTTTTTTTAATTAGGTACTGTAATTTACAGTATTATTAATGTAGAATTTCATGCACAGAATCTTCCAGGACCACATGCTCCACCAAAGGGTCTGCCTCCCTTCACCATTGTCCCAATGTCTCACATAACTTGCCTTTAATCCTAGCCCCACTGCCCTCAAACGCCCTGCCATAAGCTTCCTATTAAAATCCAGTTCTCTGGGCCAGAGCAATGGTACAGTGGGTAGAGCATTTGCCTTGCATGCAGCTGATCTGGGTTTGATCCTCAGCATCCCATATGGTCTCCCAAGCACTGCCAGGAGTAATTCCTCAGTGCAGAGCCAGGAGTAACCCTTGAGCACCCCCCCCCCCAAAAACAAAACAGTTCTCAGTTTCTGTTGTCTTGAAGCATTTGTTATTTCTTTACTATGTTTCTTTATATTCCACATGTGAGAGTTCTGTATCTGATCTTTCTAATGATATTTTAAAGGATATTTCCTTAGGAGTAACCTGTCTGCTTTATAATCTTCCCCCTTTAAAGGACATGAAACAGGGTCAGAGAGAAAATACAGCAGGTAGAATACTTGCCATGCATGTGGCTAACCCAAGTCTGATTCCTGGCACCATATTTGGTCCCCCTAGCACCACATTTGGTCCCCCTAGCACCAGGTGTAACCCAAATACACACACACTCACATACACACAAACATGCACATGATCACGATCATGATCACGATCACGACCATCCTGTTGTTCGTCAATTGCCTCGAGCAGGCCCCAGTAACATCTTCTTTGTCCTAGCCCTGAGATTTTTAAAAAGTGCCATATTCAAAGCTCTTTCAGGGTTAGGAGAATGAGACCCATCATTGTTACTGGTATTTGGCATATTGGGTACGCCACGGGGAGTTTGCCATACTCTGCCGTGTGGGCAGGTTACATTCAGTAGCCTGCCAGTTTGTCCAAAGTAATGAGATAATAAGATGTTGTGCGGATGCATTTGCGTCCGCGTACTTCCGGGAGCTGGGTTTTATAGTCTCTGGGTCTTGGCCATTGATGGGATTACACGGCGCCAGAGGGCCAGTTGGTGGGTGTGACCCCTGCCTAGTGGAATATGAAGGATCTGGGTGGAAGATGCTCAGCCCCGATCCAAGCAGGCTTGGAGATCTCAGCCCCGGGACCCGCATGCCTTTGTTCCGCTGCTGGTACCTTCATGCATGTGGAGAGTGGTCTCAGCATGGTAGTGGCTGGTTCTGGAGGTCTTCGGCTGCCGGAGCCCTGGTCGGGGCAGGGAGGGAAACTCAACCCGCTCCCCTCCAAGGGGCCCTGACGAGGACAGCCAGGCGCGGGGGCAGGAGACTCTGCGCTGTTCTCTTCTGGGAGCTGGATTTTATAGTCTCTGGGGGGGGGGGGGGGGGAAGAGTTTAACATTTTATTTTCCTCTTGGAAAAATTGGTTCCCATAATCAGAATAAACCCAGTTTTGTAAAAATAATAAAATGTTAGTTCAAATTTCTGTTAGGATAATCATAGATATTCCACAAGGTTTTCTAAGCACGCTTTATATACAGAGATATTTATTGTTGACTTAACAGAAAACCTAAGAACACTGTTTGATACTCACTAAAAATAGATTTTAAGGTCTCTAGTAGATAAGCATCTATGTATATGTCTTTAATCCTAGTTATCTGTTGTTATAAGATATACACAGATACATACCCTAAAATATTTGAAAGCTATTAAGCCTGTTAAGTGTGTTCTGTGTACACTTATATAAAAATATTAAACTTATATTTGGAAATAAATTTCTTTATTATATGAATTTAAAAATACCTAAAAGTTATGTGACTTATATGTTACTCTAAGAGTTTTGGGTAGTTTTTTTTTAATTAAAAAATTTTTAATAGTGAGACATCATGAGGTACAGTTAACAAAGGTAATTGAATGTCTACTGGTCCAGAATCACATAACATGCAGTTACTTGCATTTAGGAAATTGTGTCTTTTCCATTCTGTTTTTTCTTTATCTACATTTTTAATAATCAGAAAGAAGACTGAGAACTTATCAGGAGGACAAAGCCCTTGACTTGAGAGTTTTCAGGGCGATTTTTGCTTCCTCTGTGGTTTCTAGAGCGTTTTCCTGTGTGGCTACTAAGTCAGGGAGTAGCTCCATTGGAAATGTACTTTGTAGTACTCATGTCTTTGGAGTTGTACAGACAAAGCTGGTATTTGGGGGCTTATTTCCCAGATTGAGGGCCTAGTGTTAAAAATCTTGAATCATAGAGTACATGTGAAAGCATTTTGCTGAATTTGAGAGATAGAAAAATCAGCAATTCATGTCATTTAAATTCAAGTATCCTTTCCAGGCTGATTCCATGTTGATATTTGATTTGCTTATGCTCAAAGAGAACAAGCTGTGTGAGAACCATTTTCATTTCTGTAACTCTGAATTAGATTGAGCAGCATCACTGGCATGCACTAAGATAGGGTGCAGACTGCAAGTGCCGTAGTTTTCTCCGGGACCGTTTGTAAACATGGCTATACACTTCAAAGTTGCATTGTTTTCTTGTAGCATTTTGATCCGCCTGTTTAAATATTCATGTGTATTGATCTATTCTGATTGTGCTTAGAACCTTTTTAATGTCTTAGTTGGTATAAGCCATAGGACTTTGAGAATTAGGGCTTTTATGGTTTTTCTTCACTCTTGGAAATGTTGCAAAGGTCCTTAATTAGTTTCAATGGATTGCTTCACATATTTCACATGTGCCACTTAGGATTCATTTTGCAAAGTAGACAATTCTGTTGGTCACTGATGAAAATTAAGCAACCCCTCTTCTGTTCACTGGGAATTGCTTGGAAAGACAGATTTGGACTCCTTAGAAATCTTTCAAGAGATTCAGTGAGAACTTTCTCAGTGTGTGTTGGGGAAGAGGAAACTTTTTTACATACTCAATAAATTTTAAGTCATTACCTTTTTTTCAAAGTCAGTTTAATAATCGCTAGCAGGAGGGCACGAAAGGTCAACTGAGCTGCTTTTTGACTAACGTTTCAGGGCTTGTGAAGCAGCAGCTAGACAGCCATATCACAGATCCAGATCAACAGAACAGCGGCCTCTCCCGGAGCGGACCGCCGCCCGCTCCAGATCCACTGAGCGTCCCGACACAAACCTCATGAGGTCGATGCCTTCATTAATGACGGGAAGATCCGCCCCTCCTTCACCCGCCTTATCGAGGTGAAAGATAAATCAATCAGACTAACTCCCCTTTTGCCCCGCCAGCACACCATTTTATTTTCCCAGCAGCTAAATGGTCTCTTTTCTCATCCTTGGCTGATCACTAATGACAACCGATACTAACCTTTTCAGTGTAAGCACACTATTCATATTCCGTGGATATAATAGTGTGTGGCTGCCATTGTAATCTGTTTATTAACTGTCCTGACTGCATTTGTATTGTGATTTCTCATTTATCAGGAGTCCCGGGTAAAACCCCCACATAAACGCACCTCATAACTATCATGGTCTTCTCCTACAGAATGAGAAATTGTTTATGTCCATTAGACATCATAATGACAGTCAATAAAACTAGACATTTAGTTTCTTTCTATCAATCCTAATCTCATATTAACCCAAATCATCTTTAGTTGACCCTTGAATTGTTCAGGACCTTATTTTGTAGTTTCGTGAGACATTTGTGTGTGTCAAAGGAAATCCATTATAAGTCTGTGTGAAAATCTCCTTGGGTCAAGGGAGTAAGGCTAGCAGTAAGAGCTTGAAATCTGGTAGAAAGAAATGTAAAGCATTACCTTTTCTTTTCGAGCTACAGAATTCTCTTGCTTTTCTGTGTATAGAATAGTAATTTACATAAATAATTCCATGGATTTGACTGTAGGATTTTTGTGTGCATGTATCTGTGTGTATGCATATTACGCCAAATATAAACATCTTTCGTTGTCTAGATAATCATCCAAATTATCCATATTTTGTCCTACCTTCCTAACCTTTTAATCTACAGCTGAGCCTCTTTTAAAATTACACTTACATGGCTATCATGTGAGCCAAATGTATTGAAAGTATTTAACTCATGCTATTGAAAATGAATATTAATGGTGTATCTTGTAGGTCACATCCTCGCACTGGGTCTGTCCAAACAAGCCCATCAAGTACTCCAGTGGCAGGAAGACGGGGCCGGCAACTTCCACAGCTCCCCACCAAGGGAACACTGGAGAGAAGTAAGTTTCATTTCTAATTTTGTTCTATAGGAAATGCACATGGAAACTAAGGTGAACCCATTTTCTTTACTTCCTTTTTTGATAATTTCTCCTTTAGTTAATTGAATGAACTAGCCATGCTCGTTAAGGGTTACATTTATAAGTGTATTGATAAATGTTCTATATTTTGTATTTCAAACTTATTATATTTGGAGTTAGCCTCTCGTTACCTCTTGCCCATTTTTCCTGTTTGAATAAATGCAGTTTTAAAAGTGAACTTGATACTTTTTTTTTTATAAACAACTGTATTCTATTTCTTGCTCCTACTAAGTTTATGTAATTGTTCACGGTTACATAAAGTTTATTAGTAACTAGCAAAATCGATTTTCACACACCGCAAAGGACTGGTTAGCTGATGCACTACAATGGTGAGCCTTCTCAAAACTGGAGTGCCAGAAAAAGGTAATCATGAATATCCAAAGACACGTGCATGTTTGAACTATTTTTAATCCTTTCCAATTGTTGCATCAGAAACACCATGTGCTTACACACACATGAATACAAGCCCCTCCCCGCTCTGAACGTCTAAATGTATGCATATAGGACCTCAGAAAGCATGGAAAATACAATATAATTTGAAAGCATTTTTTTTAAATGTTCTCTTTGTTTGGTAACTGGATGCACTTTCCCCAAGCAAAAAATAAAAGTAAAATAAATCACAATCTAACTTCTTTTTAATCTATGATACATTCTGTGCCTTTGGAAATTTCTGTTGTTTTAACCCCTGTGTTTTGGTTCCCATTTTTTTGTTTTTGTTTTTATTTTGTTTTCCCTAGACAATGGAGTCAAGGAGATAGAACCTTATGAAGGTCTGTACATAAAGGAGGGTTTGTTCTATGCTAATAGCCTTTTAGGGGGGCTACATAAGCAAAAATAAACCCAACTGCAATTGATGTCCCTTCTTTGAGTAGACTTGCTCACATAATAAAATCAGTGAGATTGACAATTTCTGGTATTCATAATTTGTTTTTGTTGGAAAGAAGAATACATAAAATTGAACTTTTCTTAAAATGAGAAGACGAAATTTTCTGTAAGCAATTTTTAAATTGCCTCATAAGCAGAATTTGCGTGCTGTGCAATACTATAACCAAAGATACCAATTGCAGTGTGTGTTTATGTCATTGAAGATATACACCTAGTCTAGCTATACTTATCATTATATATTTTATTTATATTTATGATGATTTTTAAATACTAAGTTGGGCTTTCTGGAGAAAAATGTTGCTGAATTAGTTATTATGGCTAATATTTCCTGCTCTATTTTTCCTATATTATGAATCAAGAGAAAATGTTGTGTTGTGGCATATGGAATGTCATATATATGGTAGGACAATAAAAATTCCTCTGCTAATTATTGAATCTTGAATTGTCTTTGAAGCCTTAAAGAATTGTTAACTGTTTATTTTTTGCTGAATCTAGAGATTCAGCACAGAGTGCCTGATACTTCAAGGCACTCAGAAGATATTTGTTGAGTAAATGCTTGAAAAATATTTATCTAAAAACTGAAAGCCACTTTAAATAGTGTCCACAATACCAATAAAGTAATCTTGTCATCCTTTATATTTTACTTAAAATTTTTAATTTTTATAACCTTAAACCAACCAATAACCCTGATTTAAAATATAATACATTTTTATTATTAATTGTGTTGAACAATTATCAACTCTATTGTGTTTTGTAAAATTTTCTGTGTACCATGATATTGCTATTATAACTTTTGATCTGTCATGTTTCCTGCTAAAATTGCAGAAGCATTTCTATAATTTTTTATTACTTGCATAAGAATAAATAAATATATATATTTTGGGGCTTGGGGGAACACACTTGTCTGTGCTCAGGTCTTACACCTGACTCTGTGCTCAGGGATCACTCCTGGTGGTTCTTGGACCATATGAGGTGCTGGAGATCCAACCTGAGTTTGCCACATGCAAGTCAAATGCCCTACCCACTATCACTCTGGCCCCAGGATATAGAATTGATTTTTAAATATAGTTTTGACATTATTTGTTTGTGTGGAAACGCAGAAACATAGTTTATACCAATAAACTATTATGTCAAACAATTTTGGGGGATACTTTGCCTTTTGGCCACACCTGGCTCTATTCAGGGGTTTCTCTTGGCGCTATGTTCACGGATCACTCCTGTGGGTTCAAGGGACCTTATGGGGTGCCAGGAATCAAATCCGAGGTTAGTAGCATGCAAGACAAGAACCTTACCACTACCATTGGCCCCATATGTCACAAGTTTTGAAAATTCCTTTTTTATGTCTTTTTTAGCAGTAGTCACTGAGTTTTTAGAAGTTTTATTCTTTGTAGTAATTTATTTACTATAAAATGACATGATTGAGATAGTGTATACAGCCACACACATGCATACATGCACATACAAATACACATATATCGCTTTGTAAAAACCTATTAGAGCCAGAATTTTCCTTTTGTTACTAAAGTGTTTTCTTTTTCACTTATGTAAGTAAAAGAGAAGAGTCAAAATCTCTCTTCTCGTATGTGAAATAATAGGATTTTTTTCATCTTTTATTTCACTAAAATGTATGGATTTGAACATTTGAACAATACTTTCATAAAGATTGATATACTGAAGACCTCAAGTAGACACATGCTTGTATAATTTACTTAAACTTTAAAGGCACAATGTAGTTAGAATATTTTTGAGAAGGCTCTGACTTCTAACTGAAGTTAGAGATGCATAACCAGATGTCAGTTGATGATCTATATCAGTATTTGGCTTAGATCCTAAAATGTTATCAGCAGTTGTAATTGAATTATACTATTTTATAATCAAAGTAATGACGTTTATTTTTCAGTCTTGTTGAGCATTTAAGTAATCAAGTAATCAAGACTTAATTAAATTTTTTGGTTATGCAATAATCTATGAAATTTAAGACAGTATATGTTGATCTTGACAGTGGTCTCTAGATGTCTTCTCTGCAAACCAGAGAAAAAAGGAACGACATAATGAAAGTATAAGATGCTAAACTACCATAAGGCTTTGCTATTGTTATTATTTATGTTTGATTTTTTCCCTAACTTTAATGTATGGGCATTTTTAATAATAAGAGTTTATAATACCAGTTTATTATGTCTGTAGAAGAAAAGCCAGATGATTTATGAGATTATGCTGAGTTTATGAACAGTGTATTTGGTCTATTTCACAATTATCATTTATTTCAATATTCTAGGGGTCACAGCTTATCTTGAGTAAATCAAAGTCATCATAACAGGAGTCAGTGGGATCTTTTATAATTTATTTATTTGTTTCCACATCAGAAACCCATTAAAGAGTATATTAGTCTTCTGATTACTCACCATACTATGGATATATTTGAATACTCTAAATTTTTTGGTTCTGTTTTACTTAAGTTTAACATATATACATACTTGGTCTTACTGTTTTCTTTGCTTTCACTTGTGCACACCCAGAAGTTAATGAAGAAACTGGGCTCGAGGAAGAGCAGGGGGGAGAAAAGCAGGGCGAAGAGGTCGAGGCAGGTCTGTGTGAAGATGTGTCTGGAACAAAGGAATCATTGCTTTTCACAGCAGGGCTTCTCAATCTGTGTAGGAGTCCAGATTTCAGATTTATAAATGTATAATAAAGAACAAGGGGTTTTCTTAGAATTAATTCTAAAGTACATTATTTAACACTAGTGGTGGGGAGATACTATGTAAACTCTCAATATCTAGAGATCTAAAAATAATATTTAATTTACTCATTTGGACAGTTTTTTAATGTTTAAAATTATAGGCAATACCTTTTTGGCCAAAATATATACCTAATCTTCATGTTCAATTGAATTCATTTTTAAAAAATGTTTATTAAGTATTTACTAACAAATTCTTTTACTGTGTTTTACACTAGATAAGTTTTCCCTTAAACACTATAGATTTTTTCTAGAAAGCTATAGTTAGCAATAGAGCCTTCTTCTTCCTGATTATTGTTCTGATACTCACAGGCAATAGGGAGTCCCCATCATTTGGCATATTTTTTAGTCCTTATTAAGTTTATGTATCATGGGTTTTGATGCTTGAGAGAATTGTAAGGTTTTTGTTGAGTATGTGGCTCTGTGATAGAGCACATGCCTTGTTTGTGTGAGGTAGGTACTGGGCTCCATCCCTAGTATCACATAAGTAAAAGCTATAAAACTCTAATTTTTAAAAACTTCTGGTTTAAAATATATAATAAATATATTAAGCCTAAAATCTTAATCTTATCTAATAAGCAGTTTTTTATTTTAACATTCTTTGAGCATTGCAGACTATTTGTAGACCTGATTTCACCTGTGTTTAAGTGCTGGTTGACTGGTTATTAATGGACAATAGAATATATTCGGTGTGTCTTTTGTTCTCTTTTTCACCACCATCATATACATACAAATGTACATGAGGTGTGTTTTCATGAGTGCTTTCTCCTGGTGGTTGTGGTTTAAAACTGAAGGTCTTTTAAAGCTGCAGTTGCTAATTATCAGTAACTATTTTTGATATCATAAAGATGAGAAAAATCATCAGAATACATCTGATAATGAAAAAAAAGGCAAGTGTCTCATTGCATATTTACAGAATCATAACTATCTCTGTTGCACGTTTCTAGTATTCTAACTACTAGAGTATCACAATAGTTAGAATAATAGAAAAACGAACAAAAGAAAATCCTCCTTTCTTGGAATGATGTAACATTTCTATGGAAGACTATAAGAAGGAATTCTCATTTATCTGTATTGCACCTAGTGTTTGATATTTCTATATATCATATAGTAATTCATACATATACTGAAATACTTTTAACTGTTCATAAATTGACTTCCAGAGTAAAGTTACTCTTTTTTGTTGTTGTTTGCTTTGTTTTGGAGCCACATCCAAAACAAAACACACTGTTACTCCTGGCTTTGCACTCAGGCATTACTTTTGGCAGAGCTGGCTAGGAGGACCATATGAGATTCCGGGGAT